CCAAAGCAAGATTTATATTAAACACTCTATAAACAACATGGCATAAGACCATACCATCCACATAAGTAAATATAAACTTGGTTTTGTTTCATTTCATTTTAAAGTTCTTGTTTAATATTTGGGTATGTGCTGGTCTTACAGTTCCTATTCCTAGTAAAATCTGGATGTTGTTTTTAACTGGTTTAAAACAGGAAGTTTAAGTCCAGTTAAAAGACAATGCTATAACTTATACTGAGTAGATTCCATTAGTATCTCCAAGTGGCACTATTTTTCAAAGTCAGCACCAAGATCTGAACCTCTCAATTAAGAGACAACATTTTCACATAGAGCGCATCTAAATTAGTGTCTTAACTCAAAACAGAAACGTGGTTTTGAAATGAATCTACCAATTGCACCATATTTTCGTTGTACTGGGGAGCAATCTTAAGTGTGCATGAATTAAATTTCCTGGGGATAAAAGCAAGCCAGAAAATCTGCTCCAGGAACATGTCCGATAAACTCCAACAGTTAATAGGGACTCAAGGGCTGGAACCAATGAGTGAGTCATCACCACAAGTTTTCCAGCACACAACAAGCACTCATGATCCAGCACACAGCTCTCAAAACACCAAGTGCTCACGCAAAATCATGGAGTGCCACTCATGACGCATAACGGCTTTGTAATTGGAGTGACCTACTGGCCATTGCTGGGGTGCTACACTTCTCCTTCCTCATCTATATAATCAATAGCAACATCAACTCCTTCAGCATCTCAGGAGATGATCCAGTACAGCATCACACTGAGATCCAAAGAAATGAAACTTGTAAACCTATGCTGTGACAAGTCCAAAAGGTTCTCTGGAGGCAACAGTACTACCTTGTGGCCATATCAGGACATTACAAACCTGATGAGGTGATCGTATCAAGTCAAATTTAAGAAGATAAAGCCTGCATGAGATTTTTGAACCCTCAGTGGACTGTGGCAGCGGTTTCCAATCTTTCCTCAATTCCTAATACCTATACTCAGCTCTCCTTGTCCCCACCAAAATGACTATGTCTAGCTGCTCTGCCTTTTTCTGTTGCAGAGGTCAAGGCTGAGAAGTGAGTTTCTCAGGAGTATGCTGCAGAACACAGCATAACTGTAACCTACATGAGGACTTGCATGGCCACCCTGTTCAAAGGTTACCTTCCTCTGACCTTCACAGGACTTGAGGCAGAAACAACCTTATTCCAGTACACCCACAGCCCTGGAGAGAACTGTGTCCTTGAGAACCTAGGGGCAAGGGGCAAGACAGCCATAAGCAATAGCCAGCTGCAGTGAGTCCTTATAAATATTCAGAGATTGTCAGGCTTGCTCCTCTCTCCTCTGTAGTCCTAATAAGGAAGAAGTTGTGAGCAGCAGCAGTCTATGGCCTCCATCCCACCCCTTGCCCTTCTATTGCTGAGAGCAGCATCAGGTCCTGAAATGCCATCCTGAATATGCATGCTCTTGCACCTTTGCTTGCCTTGGTTCTTAGAGGCTGTGCAGGGCTCAGCAGCCATCCATACTTGACACTGAGAGACAGGCTTGACACCTGCGTCCCAAAGAGTGCCCTTCTGCGCTTAGCAGCTGGGTAGATGCTCCACTTTGCCACAACTCTTTGGATAAGGATAAGCCAGGCTTGTGTTTCAGCATGGTACCTGGGAAGGGCAGCACAAGGCACAGATGAGATGCAGTATTGCAGATAAGGCAGGTATTTGAAACATTTTGAATGACCCTGTGCAGAAAGAAGGTGCTAGCACCACTTTTCAGTCTGAGGTTCTTTGGAAATCTGAAACATCTGCATCTGCCTCAGTTCATGGGCCACCCTTGGTAACCCCTCTGGCTTTCTACCCCAGGTCTGGACCCTAGCTGGGATGTGGGTGCTGAGGCCTCAGTTATGCATCCTCACATTCAATACATTCTACCTCTTATTCTGGAAGAGCCTCATACCAATGGGATGCCACCAGCCTGAGCTCAACCCCTGTACTGCAGATCAACCAGGGCAGAGCAGCTACAGTGAATGACTCCTTTCCATCTTCGTGCTCAGACTTCAAGACAACCACAACAGCCTGTGATGGACTGTCAAAGCAGCCCTCCTGAAGTACGTGCTACAGAAGTGAGCTTGCTGTTCCCTTCTGTAGTGATTCTGACTGAAAGACAATCACTGCACTTTAAGGAGTTTGCGATCCACATAACAATTAACCTGAATAGACCCAGGCCTGTACTGTGCCATGCCTATTCCTTGGCCACACAATAAGCTCAGCCAGAAAACTGTAATGGCTCATTCAGTGCCACATAACTTGGAGTTCCCAGTATCTACAGGGGTGTAAGATTACTTATACTATTCTGTCCTTCTTTAAAGTGTTAGCAATATTAAGTAGCATTTCAAATGACACTTTACAGAGTCTGGGTGCTCTTCTTACTGAGATCATAATGGACTAGTTCCTCCTGGTGCAAAACAGCTTTCTACTGCACTGTTATGGCTATGCTCAGATACAGAAGAGGATTTACTCAGCAGGCACAGTGGTGTTACTTGTAAATGTACAGAAGGGGTCAGGTACAAGATCAGGAATAGAAAAGGGCTGATGCTGGTTGGGACCATCATCTGCAGGAGGCAGATGAAAAGTATAGTGCTTTCCAGAGTTGCCTGCTCTCCTCATCAAGGTCTGTCCGCATAGAGCTTTGCCTGGTTTGAAAGATCTGAACTTTAGGTTAAACTCCCCAAAGTGCTACAAGTAGAAATGTCACATCCTTAGTATTACCTGCTTCAAAACACTTACCTTGCACTTCCTGAAGTAGTTACAGACACATTCTCCATCATAGGCTTGTACTAATAAACACAATACATTCTAAACCTTTGACTCATACAAAGTAGTAAGATCAAAAGAATGCTTTAAAAGGAAATACCTACAACTAGTAAATAAAACAAATCACTTCAATTACCGATTGCTATTTTACTTCCCACACATTTCTACATGGTATAATGGAAATATTCCTGTATTCCTTTGTGAATCTTTAATACAGGCACTAAAAATATTACCTGCAGTTTTGGTAGAGGTGAATGGTTTCCATCAAACCCTTTTAATTGAGATCACAAAGCTAGTTTGAATGCAGGAATCTGTATAAAACTGTCAGATTTCTCCCTAATGAATTACATTCCTTTGAAATGTACCAAGTAGATGCTTGAAAGGGGAAAACCAGTTGAAATATTAAGTCATATTCCCTTATGCTGATTAGCAAACGTAACATATTGCAAAAGTACTCTTGATCAAAACTGCCTATTTATAATCTAAATATTGGCAAGTAATAGTCTAAAAAATGGCACTGTTCTCTACAAAAGATCGGCCAGGCACGGGAAAAATAGTTAAACTAGAAGACTACAACACAGACATTCCTAGAAGAACTAAACCCCAGAACTAAACTTACTGCTTACTCTCTGAAAGCAGGCATTTTTATGGCTGAGAGTGAAGGCCAGGTTACTTCTATATGGTAATACTTGATTATAGACTGAATGCAATTGGACATCAAATACATGGTGCAATTCACCACATGCAAAACTGATTATGACATAAATTTAAAAAAAAGATTGATGAACAAAAGTGCTTTACAGGCTATTTGCATATGAATCTTATTCTTGCAGTCATAGCAATTTCTGGCTATGTCACTTTTTTTGCTGTAAAAGATGCATTCCCCAAGACACAGAGGTTCATGAAAGGCACAAGCTACAAAGTAAGAAATACCAGAACATGTATTTTCCCCATCCTGTATACAAAGCATATTATCAGCCCTAATTTGCTACCAAGAGCATGAAGGCATTTTCATCATACACCCAAAATCCAAGTGCCAAACAAGAAGTGGAATATATTTCCCAGCTTACTTTTAATGACTAAAGGACAGCAGAACAGCTTTTCTTTTACTATATATAAAAAAGTTTGCTTTACCATTCTTAATTAAAAATTTTTATTGGATGAAAGAATGTTTATTGTTGCTCTTATTCCATATTCTCCTGATTGATATGAAAAGAACTAGGGTTGATGGCCATGATCTTTCATGTGGTACTGTTTGACAATAAATACAAATCATATGAGAACTTAACAAAAGAAGACAAAAGCAATTGAGAGTTAAAGGTCAGAACCCTGACGGTGTATGGGCTGAAAGGATGACCCTAGGAATGTAGGTGGAGGCATGGATGGCTGACTAAACTTTATATGTGTATAAAAAGGAAGATGAGAGGAAGGATTTGGGGAAAGGGAGAAAGACAGACGAGAACACAGGGCAACAGCAAGGTAGGCTTCACTCCAAACCCTGATGCTGCACAGCCAATATCTTAGTTAAAGACAAGAAAACTATTGAATCTGTGGGAAAACAGGTCAGTTTATACAGTCTGTGCAAAGATGGTCCTGAGAAAAAGAGGTGAACACTCCCTTTTTGGCAAATGAACCAACACCCAAATACCTAGACACTCTAGACACCAAGGGAAACCTGGGGAGGGGGAACAGCAGGGATGCCTGGTTGCTGGATGGGAAAACAGTCAGTTCTACGTTTTGTTCTATGATTATCTCCTCTGATTGCTGACACCATCACCTGCCAGCTCTCCTGGAGTCCTCTTTTCTTACCTATATAAAGTGTCATAATCTGGCTAAAAATGCTAGATCATTTTTCCTTTTTTCCCACATCCTGTGCAGAGCCAGGCTACTACCTCAGTACAATAAATGTAACAAAATGTGTCTTGGTGTAAAAACAGAACAATTTAGACATTTAAGAAAAGCTCTCAAAAGCTCAATGACTGTATGGCACTGGACCATTAGCAAGAGCAACATCTGGTTACTTGGACAGAAATTTTAAACTTGCGAGTTTAAATTTTACTCTCCAAGACTTGTTCTGTGGTAATCACTGGAGTTTGCTGGGTCACATGAAGGAAAGTCACTTCCTAAAGTGGAAGTAACAGCGACTTGAGTCGTCACAGAAAATTACTAATTTAGGAGTACTCTAAATGTACCTCGTAAACTGAAGTTCCTCCAACGATCCAAACCATGTCTACTCTACTTGTTAACTCTGGTGAATCCAAAAGAGCTAAAGCATCATCCAGACTTTTGGAAAGATAATGTGCTCCTTTTGGGGCTTCCCTAGAAAAAGCAAAGTTTCATTACTAAATAATTAAAGGACCATTCATCATATCAATCAATACAATTTAGACATATAATGTGTTTTGCTGAATTCACAAATGACTACATGTTTCACATTAGTTAGTTATCCTGAATTGCCTATTATTGCTAAACTATGTTAGAATTCTCATCTGACTGCAGGATTGTTTAACAAATCACAGTTTAATCATAACTGTGACTTAAGAGGCATTATAAATTACAGATCTGAAATTTTATTTACATTTTTTAAAAGTGTAACTGAGAAATTTAATTATCCATAAAATTAAATACAGATTTCTACTTGAATTCTAGAACATGAATTTTTCATTAAATCAAACTAGTCAAAAATCCCCTATCCCTGCCCCCCAAGCCATTCAGCCCAAAACCCATCAACATACTTCAAATCAATAAACCATTAGTGGACATTTTTCTTTAAGAATATTTGGATGACTGTGGGTGATACATTCAAGAAGAGAAATACTACTGACAGTTCTCAGATAGTTTGTGTGTTGAACTACGACTAGTATTTATTATGCAAAGTAATGGCAATTATCTTGTGAATTAATTTGAAAAGAAATGTTTTAAAAAATTTAAAAAAATAAAGGTAAAGTAGTGATACTACTCAACACTAATAGCAGAGATGCTTCCTAACCAGGTATCAAAAATGTTACATTTAGAATTACTTTAGGATATGTTCCTACACATATTATTAGGTGCAGACTTGTTATGTGTTTTACAGGCCTATTATTCATCATACATACTTGAGCTCCCTGCTGAGCACTATATTAATTCTGTCTTTTAAAGGTCGATTCTTCTCAGGAATGGAGAACCAGGTTTTTTTACCCATTATCAGTGCATTCTGTTTACCTAAGTAAGAGAAAAAACACTTATTAAAGGGTATTTTTGCTCTGAGGCGATTTGTTTTGGTTGTTTAGTAACACCGCTGGACTTTTCCTCCCCTTTCCGAACTCCATTTCAGCAGTTAACAAAAGTACAAGCTTCTGCTCCGATTCTGAAATCAGTCACATGCACAGAAGAACATGTTTGTGGCCTCAAAGCTTGGCAGGCAGTTGACAATAAAGTAGTCTCATGCACACCTTATATACTTGTAATTTGAAAAAAAAATCAAAGAAGTGATGCCACTGCCTATTACAAGCATTACAAGGACCCTGGCTCTGCCATAGTTACAGGGCCAAATTAATCTCAATGTGTGAGACCAACTCACACCCTCAGAAGAGTTCTCTTAGTGAAAAGATATCATTGTTCTCTTTATAAATCAGAGCCATATACAGTAATCGACTTCATGTTTGGATGTTCCATCATTCCAGTTATACAATCAGAATAATTGCCAGCTTTGGGTGTTATTTAAGGAAAAAAAAAAACAAAAACCAAACTAAACCCAGGTAAAAAGATAACTTTTAGAAGAACCAACCAAATTAAATCCAAAGCAGAAGTGCAGCAAGTATTCAATCACATTCTAGAACTCACCTGTAAGTATCATTCCTGACCAAACCCAAACATTTGTAACTTCATTCTCTCATATATACTCTGCTAAGAAGAGGTTTTCTCTTCATGAGCAAATGTAGTTGTCAGAAAAATAAACAGAGGTTGAGACTCATGAAAGTGGAAGTTTTTTACCATGCTACACAGCAGGAGAGAATAAAGAAAATATTTGCTTACAGCTATTCTGCCTGCTTCTTGATCTGAAAGAGGCTGGATCTACTAGATCACAGCAGAGAACTGATCTTCCCGTTGTTTATTAGCAGTATCTAAAGACCTTTCTCCTGCAGATAACCTTCATGAACAAGTTTCCAAGAGACATACTGCAGTGTCAGCTTAGATACATTAGCACAGACCATTGGAACTGAAGGAAATGCCCATGTTCTGAAAAAATGTATACACTGGGATGTGTATAGGGTTACAACAATAGATTAGCCCAATAGCTAATCCACAGCAGTGGCCAGTGCAGGTACACAAGCAGACTAAAAGCAAGATCAGATAATGATTCTCCATTGTATTCTTACCACTTTCAAAAATTACTGACTCTCTGACTTTTTTGAGCCAATGTTGATATCCTGGCTGTGAAGATTTATAGCAGCATATTCCATTAAAGGGTCTGGTTATGGAGCAACTTAATTGCCAGGTACTCAAGGTCATTGCTTATCAAAATATTTCCAGGCAGGGTAGAGCAAAACTTTTACTTTTAATTATATTTAAAACATCTATTTTTTTATTATTAGGGGTTATTTGTTTCAGGTAAGATTCAAATTGTAGACACACTAAAAGACTTACATTTGTGTTGTTTTTTCTGTATATAAGTTTGCAATGGGCTGAATCAAGTCTTCAAAACATGTAAAATCCTTCTATTAAAACTGCTCCAAAATGAGATTAGACATTCCTTGTGTAATATGAAACAGACCTTCAAATCAGAATATGGAATAGATCACTCATTCAAAACAAGGGCACATGTTAGTCTGCCCAGATGTTTTAGCAAACAAGTGAGTTTTGCTAGGCAGTGGTTTTTAACAGGAGCATGAAAAAAAAAGAGAAAAGAGTGACCATGTTGACAAATAGAGCAGCAGCAGAAATGAGAGGATAAACTTCTTGTTTGCCATGGCTCTGATTTCACCAGACACAGTGAGCTGGTTGCATGTCCCAGTGAGGCCCTACTTTTTCTCCCAATGCCCCCCTCCTGCTCCTACCACACACCTTGTTCTGGCAGTCCTGGCAGACATCCAGTAGCTAGTATACTGGGTCAGAGAACTAAAACAGCTTAAGGAAATGTCAAATCAGCACTAAAGTCAGTGTGAAAGAGAAATGTGGGCAATGCAGCAAGACTTGTTTTTTTCTCGCAGCAATGAGGACCCAGCCAGAACAAATTAGCAGGTTTTGTCTTTTGCATTCCTATCCCCATTTGCTTGTGCTGATCTTCACTTTTTTTTTTTCACTCCACAATAACTGGATTTATCTCACCAAATCAATAGTCAGTAATACTACTTGGCTGCAAAGCTCTCACTGGACATGAACATTATTGCTGCATATTACCAGTACAGTTGTATATTACTGCACAGAGATACACATTTGCAGAATTGTTGCTGTATATCATCAGTATGGTTAGAGTTTTCTGGCATGTTGGGATGGCTCAGCACTCAGAAACACAAACAAAACTACTGTCACAAGGGTCAGAGGGGTGGAACAAATGGCCACGGTTGAGCAATAGCAAACAAGTTAGATAAGCGAATACAATCTGAAAAGACCTCTGCTAATTAATCAGCACAGAAAACCCCTTTCATTTTTAACTTCTTCTGGGTTGTAGCTGCAGGTAAACACAGACAGGTGAAGTTTTCTACCCTTTTGGGGAAACAGGACTTTGAAATTCTTTTTATTCACAAATCACCTGCAGCCCAGAAACATTTGACTCATCTCCAGTTTCCTCATCTAAGCAAACAGATGACATATTTACAGAGGGGTATAATACTTGTGGGGATTGGGAGTGCAGGGTGTCTGCAGAAGCAAGACTTTTAAGTCAGGGAAAACTAAAATTACTGGTCTTTTCTGTGACTGATCCCACACAAACAAATTCTAGCAAGTAGAAGCAACAAGTATGTTACCTTTCACATGGGGTGTGCTAGTCATTCTCTGGAAGTACTTGTACTCATTCCTGGAAAGAAAACATTCTTTTTAAACGTGCTTTAGCAATAACTTACATTTCTCTAATTGGAAAACAAAAAAAACCCACCCAAACAACCCACAATGCAAGTGCCTCTGGTGCTCGGGGAGGAGAAGCTGAACGGGTCCCGACCCTTTGCCATGCCTGAAGCCAGACTTTTAGTCCCAGTTCTGCCTACAGCTGCGAT